TAACAATCTGATCACTTCAAAGATGACTTTATTTCTTACTGAACTAACGAATATTATTAGTTCACTATGATTTTTTAAAGTTATGAATCTTCGTTGAGGTAACCGAAATAAGGATAAACTGGAATTTTATCCCTATTCAAAGTAAATTTTAGACTACAAATGAAATGTATCATAAAAGTACTTGTTAAAGTTTCCGCTCAGTAATTTCGAAAATTCTATATCACGATAATATTACTGGTAGAGAAATCGAAGTTCAGGGAGCAGAGAACATCTACATAGTTTCGATGGATAACTGATAAGAGCTTATTTTCTGTGGTTGTGTATCTGAAACCTTAAGACTCTCATTGGACAACAAGTCTTTAAATTGGTATGGTAGAATTTTGCAATGAGCTACGTAAAGACTAATTTCTTCCGATTCATAAAGAAAATTTTACAGGGCTCTTCGGGCCTACTACTTTTTATTTCAGATTTAAAGTTTGAAATAACAAAAGTAGATTATCGAAATTCACTATTTATCACTTGATAATCCTTTTCAATGATAGAGCTAACTATTAGTACGTGTGGTTTAGTAAAACTTGTTTACAAAACACTATAATGACTAATAAATTAATAACAAACTCAATAAAAAAGTTCTCTATCTTCTTTTCGGAAACTTTAACTTTTAACGATGGTCATTTCCAAAGTTGATATTAGATAAAAATTATTCTATATTTCAAAGTAACTGATGTTGGAAATACGGACCACTGGATTCCGACACAGACGTTCGGCTAAATTGTGGTCCCTGAGAGTCATAATCATCTTGCGATTGAACTAGTATGAGTTGACAAGTGTTCACTTTTAATTAGACCCACAATAAAACGTGTTGGCTATTCAGTATTTGTTTCCTAAAGTAAACCGTAATATTAAGTAAGTTTTTACAAAATTTAAATCAGATAAATTTATTGTATCTGATTACATCCGTTTTAAATTAATGTAAACAAATAACTAAATTTAATGGTTAAATTCATGAGTTTATTGAAGTTAGACAACCATCGAAGACCTGGAAGCACTCCTAGGCCATTTCATCTTATTATGAGACTCCCCAGCAATGGGCATCCACGACCCCACCTCGCAAGATTCGAATCAAGGACCTATCAGTCCTGAACCACTAAGCCGACATCTAACAGTGTTAATATCTAACTTCAACCGATCCTAAATAACAATGGGAAGATACAAGTAAAACAACACCAAGTGAATAGAAACAAATTATGTTACAAAATTAGGAAATTTCATTCATACACATTTTCTAAAATCTTCTTCAAAAACTGTCACATGGTAACAAAAAAATTATCTTTGACAGCATTTCTCACTTTCAATCAAATAGTACAATAGTTACATTGTCAATATTTTTAGTCATAAACTTCTAATTAAAATCTTCAAATGTGTTTATTTTACTCATGTTGTCAACTGAAACGTAATAATTATAGGGCAAAATATACAACATTGATTCATACGTCTTAATCGATGTATTTCAAGGAATGAAGTAAAGTTATACCATATGGAAAGAATATATTTAACCCTATCCTTGTTCTGAACGACATCCTATTGATATATCCTGTTTATAGATTCTAAAAAAAAGACGAAAACAAGAAAGAACTCTTTAAGCTCATGATATGAATTTGTCTGATTCAGAGTCGTATAGTCAGTATTTCATTATTGCATCTGATAATGATTGATATATGTTATAAGTTGATTTAAATTTGGTCATATTAATCACTGAATTTTGAATCAGTAGGTTGAAGGCATCTTATTAAGATTTTTAAGATTTAATCTTCTGTAATGTGAAGTTCTGATGATCCTCAAAGTGGAACCCAGTAACTGATCAGTAACCTCTTATTTTCAACTATTCTTCAGTCAACGTTATTGTAAAAGTAAACTGGTCAGATTATTAGCGTTTTCTCACTAGTTTTAAACGTGCTAAACCAACAATGATGGTAATAATAACGATTATTATAATCTCCACTATTATTGCTAATGCTGTTTTCACCATTATTATTATTATTATTATTATTATTATTATTGTCAAATAGACAATTGTGGTAATTTGTGTTTTACAAGTTAAACTTTCTCGTGCATGAGACCGAAGGTCATGGGTTCAAATCCCGCATGCGGGATCGTGAGTGCGCACTGTTGAGGAGTCCCAGTGCTTCCATGTTTTCAATTGTGGTCTAGCTTGCACTAAATCATGAATTCAACTAATAAACGCAGTACAATCTCCATAAACCACCCACTAATGAGAATGAAAACTATTAAAAACTGTATTATATAACTGGTTTCCAGTAAAGCTTAAAATGTTGTCATACTTCAGAAAAGTGTAATAATTGACTGAAATTAGTAGAATATTACACTCTCATCACTTTGTATTAAATATTATGGTGGGCATTTTGAGAAAGTGTCTGAAATAGTCCTAATAGTGATTTATATCTAACCTGCAGGTACTTTGTGTATTTAGGTGGAGGTGCTTAGCAAAATGTATAGGGAAATCTAGAAAAGTAAAGAAAATGAGAAAAACTGAACTACTTACTCCATGAGTGAATTAAGATTTAATTGGTGAAAATAACCTGAAACAATTCGGGATAAAGCAAATATGAGATCGAATAGTTAAGAATAAAGTTGGTAGAATGAGATTTTGAATGAATTAGTATATATATATATATATATATATATATATATATATATATATATATATATATATATATATATATATATATATATATGAATTAGCATATATATAGAAAGCAACATATATTGATTACATTATTTATATCTTCAACCAATTCATGAACCAAATCAAAACGAAAACTTAACTGAATCTAGAAAGATCAATATCATTGTCAAACAATAACAAAATTAAAATATATCTAGAAAAATATATATTTATACTCATTAAAAGTTTCCCAAAAGTTACTCATTCAGTACATCCATTATTGAACAAATCTCCAAAGACCTGAAACAAATAAATATTGGTTGAAGATAGATGGTAACACTGTTGGATTCCGGATCAGGTTAAGCGTTCGCGTGCGAGACCGTTAGGTTCTGGGTTCAAATCTTACGAGGCAGAATCGTGGATGCGTACTGTTGAGGAGTCCCATACTAGTATGAAACGGCCTTGCAGTGCTTTCAGGTTATCCATGGTGGTCTAGCTTCAATTGACTTATGAATTCAATTATTAAATATTATACAGTTTAATTTGTCTATTTCACTCAAATAAAATATTCTTCGTAATGAATAATAGGTAACCACTTTTTTAAAGTATTCACTGAAGATAAACTGACTTATTTATATAGTTTCTTGTAATCAATTATCGAAGAACACAATTATACAGATCTTAAATAGAACTTGGTTGACAAGTGGAGTTAAACTTCTATTTGTCTCTATGTGTGAGATTGATGATTTCACAATATTAAAATTTATCTAAGGTCAGGAATATGACTATTTGAAAGTCAATTAAGTGATTTAAATATCAGGCATATGTTGTGAGATCTGACTAGCTTAGGTTCTAGTCCTGATTGAACAATGAGGATACCTTACTAAAGAGTCATATACTAGAAAAACATAATTATTCAGTGCTTTCTGATTTTCAATGATTGTCTAACTAAAATCAGTTCACATAATGTAAACTATAGAAATCTAGATTTACTTTCTACATAAAGATCTATGTAGATAAAGATTAATAAACAAAGAAGAATGTCTTAAAATCCTTTTTTCAAATGGTTACTTCAAGTATTCTTCCATTGACATTATTCACTAATAAGTGAATATGATAAACGTGAAAATATGATTACAATAGGTAGGATAATCATTTAGTTAAGTTGAATGGGATTGGATTAATTCATTACTGTGTTCTGTCTATCAATCTATATCTGTTAGTCTCTCATTTTACCTGAATTTTTACCAATTTGATTGATTCTTTTCTAAACTGAAATGATATAGGCTTGCTAGTTGGTTACTTCTAATTATGGCCACGCAATTTAAGTAAAAAAAAATTTTTGTCCAATACCAGTAAACATGAGCACAGATAGGTGATAATAATACTACACATGTAATCAAAAGTATACAGGCAAATTAAGTTCAATTCACTTTTAAGCTGATAGGTTACTCTGTTTTAAGAAAAAATTTTTAAAAAAAAGTTTTTGTTTTTCTTTTCACCATTCATAACAAACAACCAACTATCATATACATTATTATTATTATTATTATATTCAAAGGGGGGTTTTTATTTTCTTTACAAACTTGAGAGATCAATAATATTTATCAACACCTACGCAATATTATCCAACAACAACAAAAAAAAAGAAAAAAAATATATAGAATCAACCACTATCTAATTTCTAATAATATTCAATTCTACAGTGAAGGTTTCAAACGATGCATGTCTCCATAAAATAATGCAAAATTTCAATCAGAAACAATATAAGGCAATTTGTCAAATACAATAATCATCATCAAGAATAATTATTTAAGGCAGCAAGTATACTTTCGAATTTTTTCAACAAAAAAACGCCTTATTTTTTGTTTTTGTATTTTCTATATTTATATTCAACATATTAGTGGAATCATTTTTTATGATCTTTCTTCTTCTTCAATTGATAACCATATAACAGATTTATACAAATGATCAGTACAAGATCAATGAGAATATTGGACAAACATACATAGATCATTATCTACTTATATATATATATATATACTCAAGTTGCTATATCAATTAAATTTTCTATGAAAGAATTCATTTATAATAATATGAAAGTTGATATCCACTATATGTTATTTGTTATAATATACAAAGTTTAAATTGATCTTCTATGGAGACATATTCCTTCACTTCATTTCAACGGAAATTTATCATCATTGTTATGAACATTCTATTGAACTTATGACGTAATCAGTTTATAAAAGTATAACATTATTATTTAGATTGAAAAAAAATATCTCTATTTTAATAAATATCTATTTTTACTATGTCTACTGAATTGAATCCAATTGATATGAAACAATCATCACCAACAACTGATGAATCAATGAAAGTAGATCTAATAAAAATGGATGATAATTTAAAATCAAATATAACATGTGAATTATATGATACATTAATAGATCCAGAATGTAAAAAATCTAAATTATCCGATGTTTGGGAAACAAGTCATACACCTCCATTAGAATGTCAAGAATATGATTCGTTAAAAGTTAAAAAAGATCTATACAAAGATGTTACTATCAATGCAGATGTTGTTGATGATGGCGATGGTGATAATTTGAAAAAATTCCGTGATACAGAAAAAACTGTATCATGTTATAGACATACAGATGATTATGAAATATATCATTCTAGTATTGAAAAAGATATTTGTACAGAATTGGATAATCCTATGTACATACCAATTAAATTACCATTGAGTAGTAATTTATATGTTCCAATATATTATGTACAGTCGAGTGAAGAAACTTCACCTAAATTAAATAAACATAATTTGGATTTTAATGACTTAAATAATATCCATAAGGATTCTATTATTAATAATAATAATAATAATAATATCAAATCAAAGGTAAGTCATAAATATCGATTAAATTCTCATGATAACCTAAGTAAACAAGAGGAATCTCAACGACTAACTAGTGATTATCATATAAATATTAATAATCAGGGATATGAAAATTGTTTATCAAAATATGATACAACTAAGCCAGAACCTAATCCTTATGATTTAGAAATATGTAATGTACAGACAGAATTAAATGAACCATTAATAAAAACAAAACATTTAGAGAAATCAAAAACTAGTAAAGTGTTATTAAAACAAAAATTACATTTTATGAAGCCAAAATTAAAAATGAATATGAATAATACAGAAAATGAAATTGTTATAACGGATAGTCAGGGAAAAATGACTGATGAAAGGAATAGAATTGAAAAAAGACAAAAAATTGGTTGTTCACCAAAACTTAAATTTAAAAAACATGAATATCGAAATAGAAAAGAAACAGAAATTATGCAACAAAATGATAAACCTGTTGAAGGTGTTATCAGTGGAAAACAATACAAAGTTCCTGATCAAGATTTAAATAATCAACTTAATGAACATGTATCAATTGAAACATCAGCAATGGAAAACAAAAATGTGACAAGAAAAATGAGAATGTTACATCGAAAGAAAAATGAAGTAAAAGAAAACGAAAAACAGATTTCAAAAGGAGTACAAAAGAAAGAAACACAAATAACGGACAATAGAGCAACCAAAGAAAAAAGAACGAAAGATGAAAAGGAGAAGAAACAAAATCAGAAGATAGAAACAAACAAGCGAAAACGAATGATAAATCCATGCGTCAAATTACATTTGACAAAAGAAAATCAGCAAAAAAAAATGAAGAAAACCACAGAAGAAAGAAAACCGCCAGCAGATGTAAAAGTAAAAAAAGAAGGAATACAAAAACAGAAAAAACACATCGGGAGAAAACAGTTCCATTGGTCACCTAATATATCACTGCCAAAGTTGAAAGTGCATGGACCAGATTTGTCTGGAAAACTTCATGCAGATGCACCTGATGTGGATGTGAATGTGACTGGTCCATCTGTGGAGATGCCATCTCTGAAAGCCAGTGGTCATTTGCCTACTGTCGATGTGTCCGTTCCCGATGCATCGTTGGGAGGTGATCTATCCGGTAAGCTCGATTTGGAGGGTGTCGGTGTGGGAGTTGTGGACGCCGATTTGAATCTGCCAGACCTACAGATCTCAGGAAATGTGAGTGCACCGTCTGTCGAGGGAGACCTATCCATGCCAGATGTTTCCGCCAATCTGGACACAGATGTGAAACTGCCCAGTGTGCAACTGACTGGTCCAGATCTCCGTGTACATGGTGAGATGCCGGATGTGGATGTGGGTGCTAAGGTGGATGTGCCGAAACCACATATTTCAATCAAGACACCGAAATTCGGGTTCGGTCTGGGCAAGAAGAAGACGAAAGTGAAGACTCCAAAGGCTGATGTGAAAGTGGAGGGTGGAGCAGGTGGGGATATAGATTTGGATGCTGGTTTGGACGCTCACTTAGATGGTAAAGCAAGAAAGGGAGGTAAGAAGTTCCATTGGTCTCCTAAGTTCGGGTTGCCGAAGGGTGGTCTGAAGATTGGTGGAGGTGCTGGTGTTGGAGTGCCGGACACCTCGGTGTCTGTCTCAGGTACGACTGGTGGTGTGGATGTGTCTCTTCCGAAACCCGAACTCGATGTCTCCATGGAGGTTCCCGACGTTGGTGTGTCCGCCTCTGTGCCCGAAATCGATGTATCAGGTGGTGAGTTGGGACTGACTGGGAAGGTTTCTGCACCCGGTGTGGATGTCAGTGTTCCGTCGAAGAAGAAGAAGTTCACCTTCGGTTGGGGCTCGAAAGACAAGAAGGCGAAGAAGGTGAAGTTGCCCACAGTGTCGGGAGACGTGGATGCTAGTTTGGATGTGGGTGGAAAGGTTGATGTTCCCAGTGTGAAGGTTGATGTGGACTCAGGTGATCGAGTCAAAGGTAAGAAGTTCCACTGGTCTCCGAATATCTCATTGCCAAAGTTGAAAGTGCATGGACCAGATTTGTCTGGAAAACTTCATGCAGATGCACCTGATGTGGATGTGAATGTGACTGGTCCATCTGTGGAGATGCCATCTCTGAAAGCCAGTGGTCATTTGCCTACTGTCGATGTGTCCGTTCCCGATGCATCGTTGGGAGGTGATCTATCCGGTAAGCTCGATTTGGAGGGTGTCGGTGTGGGAGTTGTGGACGCCGATTTGAATCTGCCAGACCTACAGATCTCAGGAAATGTGAGTGCACCGTCTGTCGAGGGAGACCTATCCATGCCAGATGTTTCCGCCAATCTGGACACAGATGTGAAACTGCCCAGTGTGCAACTGACTGGTCCAGATCTCCGTGTACATGGTGAGATGCCGGATGTGGATGTGGGTGCTAAGGTGGATGTGCCGAAACCACATATTTCAATCAAGACACCGAAATTCGGGTTCGGTCTGGGCAAGAAGAAGACGAAAGTGAAGACTCCAAAGGCTGATGTGAAAGTGGAGGGTGGAGCAGGTGGGGATATAGATTTGGATGCTGGTTTGGACGCTCACTTAGATGGTAAAGCAAGAAAGGGAGGTAAGAAGTTCCATTGGTCTCCTAAGTTCGGGTTGCCGAAGGGTGGTCTGAAGATTGGTGGAGGTGCTGGTGTTGGAGTGCCGGACACCTCGGTGTCTGTCTCAGGTACGACTGGTGGTGTGGATGTGTCTCTTCCGAAACCCGAACTCGATGTCTCCATGGAGGTTCCCGACGTTGGTGTGTCCGCCTCTGTGCCCGAAATCGATGTATCAGGTGGTGAGTTGGGACTGACTGGGAAGGTTTCTGCACCCGGTGTGGATGTCAGTGTTCCGTCGAAGAAGAAGAAGTTCACCTTCGGTTGGGGCTCGAAAGACAAGAAGGCGAAGAAGGTGAAGTTGCCCACAGTGTCGGGAGACGTGGATGCTAGTTTGGATGTGGGTGGAAAGGTTGATGTTCCCAGTGTGAAGGTTGATGTGGACTCAGGTGATCGAGTCAAAGGTAAGAAGTTCCACTGGTCTCCGAATATCTCATTGCCAAAGTTGAAAGTGCATGGACCAGATTTGTCTGGAAAACTTCATGCAGATGCACCTGATGTGGATGTGAATGTGACTGGTCCATCTGTGGAGATGCCATCTCTGAAAGCCAGTGGTCATTTGCCTACTGTCGATGTGTCCGTTCCCGATGCATCGTTGGGAGGTGATCTATCCGGTAAGCTCGATTTGGAGGGTGTCGGTGTGGGAGTTGTGGACGCCGATTTGAATCTGCCAGACCTACAGATCTCAGGAAATGTGAGTGCACCGTCTGTCGAGGGAGACCTATCCATGCCAGATGTTTCCGCCAATCTGGACACAGATGTGAAACTGCCCAGTGTGCAACTGACTGGTCCAGATCTCCGTGTACATGGTGAGATGCCGGATGTGGATGTGGGTGCTAAGGTGGATGTGCCGAAACCACATATTTCAATCAAGACACCGAAATTCGGGTTCGGTCTGGGCAAGAAGAAGACGAAAGTGAAGACTCCAAAGGCTGATGTGAAAGTGGAGGGTGGAGAAGGTGGGGATATAGATTTGGATGCTGGTTTGGACGCTCACTTAGATGGTAAAGCAAGAAAGGGAGGTAAGAAGTTCCATTGGTCTCCTAAGTTCGGGTTGCCGAAGGGTGGTCTGAAGATTGGTGGAGGTGCTGGTGTTGGAGTGCCGGACACCTCGGTGTCTGTCTCAGGTACGACTGGTGGTGTGGATGTGTCTCTTCCGAAACCCGAACTCGATGTCTCCATGGAGGTTCCCGACGTTGGTGTGTCCGCCTCTGTGCCCGAAATCGATGTATCAGGTGGTGAGTTGGGACTGACTGGGAAGGTTTCTGCACCCGGTGTGGATGTCAGTGTTCCGTCGAAGAAGAAGAAGTTCACCTTCGGTTGGGGCTCGAAAGACAAGAAGGCGAAGAAGGTGAAGTTGCCCACAGTGTCGGGAGACGTGGATGCTAGTTTGGATGTGGGTGGAAAGGTTGATGTTCCCAGTGTGAAGGTTGATGTGGACTCAGGTGATCGAGTCAAAGGTAAGAAGTTCCACTGGTCTCCGAATATCTCATTGCCAAAGTTGAAAGTGCATGGACCAGATTTGTCTGGAAAACTTCATGCAGATGCACCTGATGTGGATGTGAATGTGACTGGTCCATCTGTGGAGATGCCATCTCTGAAAGCCAGTGGTCATTTGCCTACTGTCGATGTGTCCGTTCCCGATGCATCGTTGGGAGGTGATCTATCCGGTAAGCTCGATTTGGAGGGTGTCGGTGTGGGAGTTGTGGACGCCGATTTGAATCTGCCAGACCTACAGATCTCAGGAAATGTGAGTGCACCGTCTGTCGAGGGAGACCTATCCATGCCAGATGTTTCCGCCAATCTGGACACAGATGTGAAACTGCCCAGTGTGCAACTGACTGGTCCAGATCTCCGTGTACATGGTGAGATGCCGGATGTGGATGTGGGTGCTAAGGTGGATGTGCCGAAACCACATATTTCAATCAAGACACCGAAATTCGGGTTCGGTCTGGGCAAGAAGAAGACGAAAGTGAAGACTCCAAAGGCTGATGTGAAAGTGGAGGGTGGAGCAGGTGGGGATATAGATTTGGATGCCGGTTTGGACGCTCACTTAGATGGTAAAGCAAGAAAGGGAGGTAAGAAGTTCCATTGGTCTCCTAAGTTCGGGTTGCCGAAGGGTGGTCTGAAGATTGGTGGAGGTGCTGGTGTTGGAGTGCCGGACACCTCGGTGTCTGTCTCAGGTACGACTGGTGGTGTGGATGTGTCTCTTCCGAAACCCGAACTCGATGTCTCCATGGAGGTTCCCGACGTTGGTGTGTCCGCCTCTGTGCCCGAAATCGATGTATCAGGTGGTGAGTTGGGACTGACTGGGAAGGTTTCTGCACCCGGTGTGGATGTCAGTGTTCCGTCGAAGAAGAAGAAGTTCACCTTCGGTTGGGGCTCGAAAGACAAGAAGGCGAAGAAGGTGAAGTTGCCCACAGTGTCGGGAGACGTGGATGCTAGTTTGGATGTGGGTGGAAAGGTTGATGTTCCCAGTGTGAAGGTTGATGTGGACTCAGGTGATCGAGTCAAAGGTAAGAAGTTCCACTGGTCTCCGAATATCTCATTGCCAAAGTTGAAAGTGCATGGACCAGATTTGTCTGGAAAACTTCATGCAGATGCACCTGATGTGGATGTGAATGTGACTGGTCCATCTGTGGAGATGCCATCTCTGAAAGCCAGTGGTCATTTGCCTACTGTCGATGTGTCCGTTCCCGATGCATCGTTGGGAGGTGATCTATCCGGTAAGCTCGATTTGGAGGGTGTCGGTGTGGGAGTTGTGGACGCCGATTTGAATCTGCCAGACCTACAGATCTCAGGAAATGTGAGTGCACCGTCTGTCGAGGGAGACCTATCCATGCCAGATGTTTCCGCCAATCTGGACACAGATGTGAAACTGCCCAGTGTGCAACTGACTGGTCCAGATCTCCGTGTACATGGTGAGATGCCGGATGTGGATGTGGGTGCTAAGGTGGATGTGCCGAAACCACATATTTCAATCAAGACACCGAAATTCGGGTTCGGTCTGGGCAAGAAGAAGACGAAAGTGAAGACTCCAAAGGCTGATGTGAAAGTGGAGGGTGGAGAAGGTGGGGATATAGATTTGGATGCTGGTTTGGACGCTCACTTAGATGGTAAAGCAAGAAAGGGAGGTAAGAAGTTCCATTGGTCTCCTAAGTTCGGGTTGCCGAAGGGTGGTCTGAAGATTGGTGGAGGTGCTGGTGTTGGAGTGCCGGACACCTCGGTGTCTGTCTCAGGTACGACTGGTGGTGTGGATGTGTCTCTTCCGAAACCCGAACTCGATGTCTCCATGGAGGTTCCCGACGTTGGTGTGTCCGCCTCTGTGCCCGAAATCGATGTATCAGGTGGTGAGTTGGGACTGACTGGGAAGGTTTCTGCACCCGGTGTGGATGTCAGTGTTCCGTCGAAGAAGAAGAAGTTCACCTTCGGTTGGGGCTCGAAAGACAAGAAGGCGAAGAAGGTGAAGTTGCCCACAGTGTCGGGAGACGTGGATGCTAGTTTGGATGTGGGTGGAAAGGTTGATGTTCCCAGTGTGAAGGTTGATGTGGACTCAGGTGATCGAGTCAAAGGTAAGAAGTTCCACTGGTCTCCGAATATCTCATTGCCAAAGTTGAAAGTGCATGGACCAGATTTGTCTGGAAAACTTCATGCAGATGCACCTGATGTGGATGTGAATGTGACTGGTCCATCTGTGGAGATGCCATCTCTGAAAGCCAGTGGTCATTTGCCTACTGTCGATGTGTCCGTTCCCGATGCATCGTTGGGAGGTGATCTATCCGGTAAGCTCGATTTGGAGGGTGTCGGTGTGGGAGTTGTGGACGCCGATTTGAATCTGCCAGACCTACAGATCTCAGGAAATGTGAGTGCACCGTCTGTCGAGGGAGACCTATCCATGCCAGATGTTTCCGCCAATCTGGACACAGATGTGAAACTGCCCAGTGTGCAACTGACTGGTCCAGATCTCCGTGTACATGGTGAGATGCCGGATGTGGATGTGGGTGCTAAGGTGGATGTGCCGAAACCACATATTTCAATCAAGACACCGAAATTCGGGTTCGGTCTGGGCAAGAAGAAGACGAAAGTGAAGACTCCAAAGGCTGATGTGAAAGTGGAGGGTGGAGCAGGTGGGGATATAGATTTGGATGCTGGTTTGGACGCTCACTTAGATGGTAAAGCAAGAAAGGGAGGTAAGAAGTTCCATTGGTCTCCTAAGTTCGGGTTGCCGAAGGGTGGTCTGAAGATTGGTGGAGGTGCTGGTGTTGGAGTGCCGGACACCTCGGTGTCTGTCTCAGGTACGACTGGTGGTGTGGATGTGTCTCTTCCGAAACCCGAACTCGATGTCTCCATGGAGGTTCCCGACGTTGGTGTGTCCGCCTCTGTGCCCGAAATCGATGTATCAGGTGGTGAGTTGGGACTGACTGGGAAGGTTTCTGCACCCGGTGTGGATGTCAGTGTTCCGTCGAAGAAGAAGAAGTTCACCTTCGGTTGGGGCTCGAAAGACAAGAAGGCGAAGAAGGTGAAGTTGCCCACAGTGTCGGGAGACGTGGATGCTAGTTTGGATGTGGGTGGAAAGGTTGATGTTCCCAGTGTGAAGGTTGATGTGGACTCAGGTGATCGAGTCAAAGGTAAGAAGTTCCACTGGTCTCCGAATATCTCATTGCCAAAGTTGAAAGTGCATGGACCAGATTTGTCTGGAAAACTTCATGCAGATGCACCTGATGTGGATGTGAATGTGACTGGTCCATCTGTGGAGATGCCATCTCTGAAAGCCAGTGGTCATTTGCCTACTGTCGATGTGTCCGTTCCCGATGCATCGTTGGGAGGTGATCTATCCGGTAAGCTCGATTTGGAGGGTGTCGGTGTGGGAGTTGTGGACGCCGATTTGAATCTGCCAGACCTACAGATCTCAGGAAATGTGAGTGCACCGTCTGTCGAGGGAGACCTATCCATGCCAGATGTTTCCGCCAATCTGGACACAGATGTGAAACTGCCCAGTGTGCAACTGACTGGTCCAGATCTCCGTGTACATGGTGAGATGCCGGATGTGGATGTGGGTGCTAAGGTGGATGTGCCGAAACCACATATTTCAATCAAGACACCGAAATTCGGGTTCGGTCTGGGCAAGAAGAAGACGAAAGTGAAGACTCCAAAGGCTGATGTGAAAGTGGAGGGTGGAGCAGGTGGGGATATAGATTTGGATGCTGGTTTGGACGCTCACTTAGATGGTAAAGCAAGAAAGGGAGGTAAGAAGTTCCATTGGTCTCCTAAGTTCGGGTTGCCGAAGGGTGGTCTGAAGATTGGTGGAGGTGCTGGTGTTGGAGTGCCGGACACCTCGGTGTCTGTCTCAGGTACGACTGGTGGTGTGGATGTGTCTCTTCCGAAACCCGAACTCGATGTCTCCATGGAGGTTCCCGACGTTGGTGTGTCCGCCTCTGTGCCCGAAATCGATGTATCAGGTGGTGAGTTGGGACTGACTGGGAAGGTTTCTGCACCCGGTGTGGATGTCAGTGTTCCGTCGAAGAAGAAGAAGTTCACCTTCGGTTGGGGCTCGAAAGACAAGAAGGCGAAGAAGGTGAAGTTGCCCACAGTGTCGGGAGACGTGGATGCTAGTTTGGATGTGGGTGGAAAGGTTGATGTTCCCAGTGTGAAGGTTGATGTGGACTCAGGTGATCGAGTCAAAGGTAAGAAGTTCCACTGGTCTCCGAATATCTCATTGCCAAAGTTGAAAGTGCATGGACCAGATTTGTCTGGAAAACTTCATGCAGATGCACCTGATGTGGATGTGAATGTGACTGGTCCATCTGTGGAGATGCCATCTCTGAAAGCCAGTGGTCATTTGCCTACTGTCGATGTGTCCGTTCCCGATGCATCGTTGGGAGGTGATCTATCCGGTAAGCTCGATTTGGAGGGTGTCGGTGTGGGAGTTGTGGACGCCGATTTGAATCTGCCAGACCTACAGATCTCAGGAAATGTGAGTGCACCGTCTGTCGAGGGAGACCTATCCATGCCAGATGTTTCCGCCAATCTGGACACAGATGTGAAACTGCCCAGTGTGCAACTGACTGGTCCAGATCTCCGTGTACATGGTGAGATGCCGGATGTGGATGTGGGTGCTAAGGTGGATGTGCCGAAACCACATATTTCAATCAAGACACCGAAATTCGGGTTCGGTCTGGGCAAGAAGAAGACGAAAGTGAAGACTCCAAAGGCTGATGTGAAAGTGGAGGGTGGAGCAGGTGGGGATATAGATTTGGATGCTGGTTTGGACGCTCACTTAGATGGTAAAGCAAGAAAGGGAGGTAAGAAGTTCCATTGGTCTCCTAAGTTTGGGTTGCCGAAGGGTGGTCTGAAGATTGGTGGAGGTGCTGGTGTTGGAGTGCCGGACACCTCGGTGTCTGTCTCAGGTACGACTGGTGGTGTGGATGTGTCTCTTCCGAAACCCGAACTCGATGTCTCCATGGAGGTTCCCGACGTTGGTGTGTCCGCCTCTGTGCCCGAAATCGATGTATCAGGTGGTGAGTTGGGACTGACTGGGAAGGTTTCTGCACCCGGTGTGGATGTCAGTGTTCCGTCGAAGAAGAAGAAGTTCACCTTCGGTTGGGGCTCGAAAGACAAGAAGGCGAAGAAGGTGAAGTTGCCCACAGTGTCGGGAGACGTGGATGCTAGTTTGGATGTGGGTGGAAAGGTTGATGTTCCCAGTGTGAAGGTTGATGTGGACTCAGGTGATCGAGTCAAAGGTAAGAAGTTCCACTGGTCTCCGAATATCTCATTGCCAAAGTTGAAAGTGCATGGACCAGATTTGTCTGGAAAACTTCATGCAGATGCACCTGATGTGGATGTGAATGTGACTGGTCCATCTGTGGAGATGCCATCTCTGAAAGCCAGTGGTCATTTGCCTACTGTCGATGTGTCCGTTCCCGATGCATCGTTGGGAGGTGATCTATCCGGTAAGCTCGATTTGGAGGGTGTCGGTGTGGGAGTTGTGGACGCCGATTTGAATCTGCCAGACCTACAGATCTCAGGAAATGTGAGTGCACCGTCTGTCGAGGGAGACCTATCCATGCCAGATGTTTCCGCCAATCTGGACACAGATGTGAAACTGCCCAGTGTGCAACTGACTGGTCCAGATCTCCGTGTACATGGTGAGATGCCGGATGTGGATGTGGGTGCTAAGGTGGATGTGCCGAAACCACATATTTCAATCAAGACACCGAAATTCGGGTTCGGTCTGGGCAAGAAGAAGACGAAAGTGAAGACTCCAAAGGCTGATGTGAAAGTGGAGGGTGGAGCAGGTGGGGATATAGATTTGGATGCTGGTTTGGACGCTCACTTAGATGGTAAAGCAAGAAAGGGAGGTAAGAAGTTCCATTGGTCTCCTAAGTTCGGGTTGCCGAAGGGTGGTCTGAAGATTGGTGGAGGTGCTGGTGTTGGAGTGCCGGACACCTCGGTGTCTGTCTCAGGTACGACTGGTGGTGTGGATGTGTCTCTTCCGAAACCCGAACTCGATGTCTCCATGGAGGTTCCCGACGTTGGTGTGTCCGCCTCTGTGCCCGAAATCGATGTATCAGGTGGTGAGTTGGGACTGACTGGGAAGGTTTCTGCACCCGGTGTGGATGTCAGTGTTCCGTCGAAGAAGAAGAAGTTCACCTTCGGTTGGGGCTCGAAAGACAAGAAGGCGAAGAAGGTGAAGTTGCCCACAGTGTCGGGAGACGTGGATGCTAGTTTGGATGTGGGTGGAAAGGTTGATGTTCCCAGTGTGAAGGTTGATGTGGACTCAGGTGATCGAGTCAAAGGTAAGAAGTTCCACTGGTCTCCGAATATCTCATTGCCAAAGTTGAAAGTGCATGGACCAGATTTGTCTGGAAAACTTCATGCAGATGCACCTGATGTGGATGTGAATGTGACTGGTCCATCTGTGGAGATGCCATCTCTGAAAGCCAGTGGTCATTTGCCTACTGTCGATGTGTCCGTTCCCGATGCATCGTTGGGAGGTGATCTATCCGGTAAGCTCGATTTGGAGGGTGTCGGTGTGGGAGTTGTGGACGCCGATTTGAATCTGCCAGACCTACAGATCTCAGGAAATGTGAGTGCACCGTCTGTCGAGGGAGACCTATCCATGCCAGATGTTTCCGCCAATCTGGACACAGATGTGAAACTGCCCAGTGTGCAACTGACTGGTCCAGATCTCCGTGTACATGGTGAGATGCCGGATGTGGATGTGGGTGCTAAGGTGGATGTGCCGAAACCACATATTTCAATCAAGACACCGAAATTCGGGTTCGGTCTGGGCAAGAAGAAGACGAAAGTGAAGACTCCAAAGGCTGATGTGAAAGTGGAGGGTGGAGCAGGTGGGGATATAGATTTGGATGCTGGTTTGGACGCTCACTTAGATGGTAAAGCAAGAAAGGGAGGTAAGAAGTTCCATTGGTCTCCTAAGTTCGGGTTGCCGAAGGGTGGTCTGAAGATTGGTGGAGGTGCTGGTGTTGGAGTGCCGGACACCTCGGTGTCTGTCTCAGGTACGACTGGTGGTGTGGATGTGTCTCTTCCGAAACCCGAACTCGATGTCTCCATGGAGGTTCCCGACGTTGGTGTGTCCGCCTCTGTGCCCGAAATCGATGTATCAGGTGGTGAGTTGGGACTGACTGGGAAGGTTTCTGCACCCGGTGTGGATGTCAGTGTTCCGTCGAAGAAGAAGAAGTTCACCTTCGGTTGGGGCTCGAAAGACAAGAAGGCGAAGAAGGTGAAGTTGCCCACAGTGTCGGGAGACGTGGATGCTAGTTTGGATGTGGGTGGAAAGGTTGATGTTCCCAGTGTGAAGGTTGATGTGGACTCAGGTGATCGAGTCAAAGGTAAGAAGTTCCACTGGTCTCCGAATATCTCATTGCCAAAGTTGAAAGTGCATGGACCAGATTTGTCTGGAAAACTTCATGCAGATGCACCTGATGTGGATGTGAATGTGACTGGTCCATCTGTGGAGATGCCATCTCTGAAAGCCAGTGGTCATTTGCCTACTGTCGATGTGTCCGTTCCCGATGCATCGTTGGGAGGTGATCTATCCGGTAAGCTCGATTTGGAGGGTGTCGGTGTGGGAGTTGTGGACGCCGATTTGAATCTGCCAGACCTACAGATCTCAGGAAATGTGAGTGCACCGTCTGTCGAGGGAGACCTATCCATGCCAGATGTTTCCGCCAATCTGGACACAGATGTGAAACTGCCCAGTGTGCAACTGACTGGTCCAGATCTCCGTGTACATGGTGAGATGCCGGATGTGGATGTGGGTGCTAAGGTGGATGTGCCGAAACCACATATTTCAATCAAGACACCGAAATTCGGGTTCGGTCTGGGCAAGAAGAAGACGAAAGTGAAGACTCCAAAGGCTGATGTGAAAGTGGAGGGTGGAGCAGGTGGGGATATAGATTTGGATGCTGGTTTGGACGCTCACTTAGATGGTAAAGCAAGAAAGGGAGGTAAGAAGTTCCATTGGTCTCCTAAGTTCGGGTTGCCGAAGGGTGGTCTGAAGATTGGTGGAGGTGCTGGTGTTGGAGTGCCGGACACCTCGGTGTCTGTCTCAGGTACGACTGGTGGTGTGGATGTGTCTCTTCCGAAACCCGAACTCGATGTCTCCATGGAGGTTCCCGACGTTGGTGTGTCCGCCTCTGTGCCCGAAATCGATGTATCAGGTGGTGAGTTGGGACTGACTGGGAAGGTTTCTGCACCCGGTGTGGATGTCAGTGTTCCGTCGAAGAAGAAGAAGTTCACCTTCGGTTGGGGCTCGAAAGACAAGAAGGCGAAGAAGGTGAAGTTGCCCACAGTGTCGGGAGACGTGGATGCTAGTTTGGATGTGGGTGGAAAGGTTGATGTTCCCAGTGTGAAGGTTGATGTGGACTCAGGTGATCGAGTCAAAGGTAAGAAGTTCCACTGGTCTCCGAATATCTCATTGCCAAAGTTGAAAGTGCATGGACCAGATTTGTCTGGAAAACTTCATGCAGATGCACCTGATGTGGATGTGAATGTGACTGGTCCATCTGTGGAGATGCCATCTCTGAAAGCCAGTGGTCATTTGCCTACTGTCGATGTGTCCGTTCCCGATGCATCGTTGGGAGGTGATCTATCCGGTAAGCTCGATTTGGAGGGTGTCGGTGTGGGAGTTGTGGACGCCGATTTGAATCTGCCAGACCTACAGATCTCAGGAAATGTGAGTGCACCGTCTGTCGAGGGAGACCTATCCATGCCAGATGTTTCCGCCAATCTGGACACAGATGTGAAACTGCCCAGTGTGCAACTGACTGGTCCAGATCTCCGTGTACATGGTGAGATGCCGGATGTGGATGTGGGTGCTAAGGTGGATGTGCCGAAACCACATATTTCAATCAAGACACCGAAATTCGGGTTCGGTCTGGGCAAGAAGAAGACGAAAGTGAAGACTCCAAAGGCTGATGTGAAAGTGGAGGGTGGAGCAGGTGGGGATATAGATTTGGATGCTGGTTTGGACGCTCACTTAGATGGTAAAGCAAGAAAGGGAGGTAAGAAGTTCCATTGGTCTCCTAAGTTCGGGTTGCCGAAGGGTGGTCTGAAGATTGGTGGAGGTGCTGGTGTTGGAGTGCCGGACACCTCGGTGTCTGTCTCAGGTACGACTGGTGGTGTGGATGTGTCTCTTCCGAAACCCGAACTCGATGTCTCCATGGAGGTTCCCGACGTTGGTGTGTCCGCCTCTGTGCCCGAAATCGATGTATCAGGTGGTGAGTTGGGACTGACTGGGAAGGTTTCTGCACCCGGTGTGGATGTCAGTGTTCCGTCGAAGAAGAAGAAGTTCACCTTCGGTTGGGGCTCGAAAGACAAGAAGGCGAAGAAGGTGAAGTTGCCCACAGTGTCGGGAGACGTGGATGCTAGTTTGGATGTGGGTGGAAAGGTTGATGTTCCCAGTGTGAAGGTTGATGTGGACTCAGGTGATCGAGTCAAAGGTAAGAAGTTCCACTGGTCTCCGAATATCTCATTGCCAAAGTTGAAAGTGCATGGACCAGATTTGTCTGGAAAACTTCATGCAGATGCACCTGATGTGGATGTGAATGTGACTGGTCCATCTGTGGAGATGCCATCTCTGAAAGCCAGTGGTCATTTGCCTACTGTCGATGTGTCCGTTCCCGATGCATCGTTGGGAGGTGATCTATCCGGTAAGCTCGATTTGGAGGGTGTCGGTGTGGGAGTTGTGGACGCCGATTTGAATCTGCCAGACCTACAGATCTCAGGAAATGTGAGTGCACCGTCTGTCGAGGGAGACCTATCCATGCCAGATGTTTCCGCCAATCTGGACACAGATGTGAAACTGCCCAGTGTGCAACTGACTGGTCCAGATCTCCGTGTACATGGTGAGATGCCGGATGTGGATGTGGGTGCTAAGGTGGATGTGCCGAAACCACATATTTCAATCAAGACACCGAAATTCGGGTTCGGTCTGGGCAAGAAGAAGACGAAAGTGAAGACTCCAAAGGCTGATGTGAAAGTGGAGGGTGGAGCAGGTGGGGATATAGATTTGGATGCTGGTTTGGACGCTCACTTAGATGGTAAAGCAAGAAAGGGAGGTAAGAAGTTCCATTGGTCTCCTAAGTTCGGGTTGCCGAAGGGTGGTCTGAAGATTGGTGGAGGTGCTGGTGTTGGAGTGCCGGACACCTCGGTGTCTGTCTCAGGTACGACTGGTGGTGTGGATGTGTCTCTTCCGAAACCCGAACTCGATGTCTCCATGGAGGTTCCCGACGTTGGTGTGTCCGCCTCTGTGCCCGAAATCGATGTATCAGGTGGTGAGTTGGGACTGACTGGGAAGGTTTCTGCACCCGGTGTGGATGTCAGTGTTCCGTCGAAGAAGAAGAAGTTCACCTTCGGTTGGGGCTCGAAAGACAAGAAGGCGAAGAAGGTGAAGTTGCCCACAGTGTCGGGAGACGTGGATGCTAGTTTGGATGTGGGTGGAAAGGTTGATGTTCCCAGTGTGAAGGTTGATGTGGACTCAGGTGATCGAGTCAAAGGTAAGAAGTTCCACTGGTCTCCGAATATCTCATTGCCAAAGTTGAAAGTGCATGGACCAGATTTGTCTGGAAAACTTCATGCAGATGCACCTGATGTGGATGTGAATGTGACTGGTCCATCTGTGGAGATGCCATCTCTGAAAGCCAGTGGTCATTTGCCTACTGTCGATGTGTCCGTTCCCGATGCATCGTTGGGAGGTGATCTATCCGGTAAGCTCGATTTGGAGGGTGTCGGTGTGGGAGTTGTGGACGCCGATTTGAATCTGCCAGACCTACAGATCTCAGGAAATGTGAGTGCACCGTCTGTCGAGGGAGACCTATCCATGCCAGATGTTTCCGCCAATCTGGACACAGATGTGAAACTGCCCAGTGTGCAACTGACTGGTCCAGATCTCCGTGTACATGGTGAGATGCCGGATGTGGATGTGGGTGCTAAGGTGGATGTGCCGAAACCACATATTTCAATCAAGACACCGAAATTCGGGTTCGGTCTGGGCAAGAAGAAGACGAAAGTGAAGACTCCAAAGGCTGATGTGAAAGTGGAGGGTGGAGCAGGTGGGGATATAGATTTGGATGCTGGTTTGGACGCTCACTTAGATGGTAAAGCAAGAAAGGGAGGTAAGAAGTTCCATTGGTCTCCTAAGTTCGGGTTGCCGAAGGGTGGTCTGAAGATTGGTGGAGGTGCTGGTGTTGGAGTGCCGGACACCTCGGTGTCTGTCTCAGGTACGACTGGTGGTGTGGATGTGTCTCTTCCGAAACCCGAACTCGATGTCTCCATGGAGGTTCCCGACGTTGGTGTGTCCGCCTCTGTGCCCGAAATCGATGTATCAGGTGGTGAGTTGGGACTGACTGGGAAGGTTTCTGCACCCGGTGTGGATGTCAGTGTTCCGTCGAAGAAGAAGAAGTTCACCTTCGGTTGGGGCTCGAAAGACAAGAAGGCGAAGAAGGTGAAGTTGCCCACAGTGTCGGGAGACGTGGATGCTAGTTTGGATGTGGGTGGAAAGGTTGATGTTCCCAGTGTGAAGGTTGATGTGGACTCAGGTGATCGAGTCAAAGGTAAGAAGTTCCACTGGTCTCCGAATATCTCATTGCCAAAGTTGAAAGTGCATGGACCAGATTTGTCTGGAAAACTTCATGCAGATGCACCTTTACCTGATATTCATTTAATAGACTCTGTACCTAATGTTCTTTCTTCTTCTACGGTTTCTTCCTCTGTTCCTGGTGTTGATGTTTCCCCTGGTCACGTTCTTTCTGATTCTTGTTTATCTCCTGAATTCGTGCAATCTTACGTGCGTGATTCTGTTTTGGTTGTTTCTGATTCTGGCATTATTTCCCCTGTGGTTAGTTTCAGTCCTGCTGTCGTTTCTTCGCCTTCACCTTCTGATCCATTCGAATCTGTTGATTTCCTTCCTGTCGTTGAGGAACCTGTTATTTCACCCTTTTCCTCACCTGAATTTTGTGAATCCAGTACTCTTCCTTCTCGAATTTCTCCTCGAAATGCTTTTCAAGATATAGATGAGAGCTTTTCATCTCCTGTTGATTCTGGTTTTAATGGTGACATTTCTAATGATGAGGCTGAAATTGATGAAATTTTTATTGTTCCCATTCAAACCGATCGTGTCTTACCGAAAGAGCAATATTTCACAGAATCACAGGACATTGTAGGTGCTGAAGCTGAAGAAGAATCGTATTCTCCTACTCAGAATTTGAATGCATCAAATGGGATAAAATCTGATGAAATTAAATTACACAGTCCATTTCATATTTTGAAATCAAAAAAACATGATAAAGATTCTGCTCATCGAGTAAAAGTCATCGATGCCAACGACCAAATCTCAACAAATACTGAAAAACTTAATGTTAATAATACTCTTTATAGCATCCCTGATGGTTCAGGACGTATTACAGTTGACAGCAAGTCTAAGAAAAAGGTGAAATCTCATCATAAGAAACCACACATATTCGGTGGTCAAATATCGACTGATGAAATTATTTCAGATACTCCCATGAAGCTGGATCATCATGGAGACTACCACGACCTAATAGGAGTATCTGTTTCTGGTCATAATGCTGATCTTGCTTTAACTCCTCGGCGTTCTCCCAGTAAACTCAGAGATCCCTCTATTCGGAAAACGTGGCATGGTGCAAGAGAACCCTATTCTGACTTTGTAGGAAGTCTCAATTCAGACCAAGATGAATACACTTTAACCGAAGATGTTTCGATTAGTTATCTACAACCAAGGTCAACCACAAAATCTTCAAATAACAATTCATTAAACGCTTCTGACTTTCTTCGACGTAGTATAGGAAATTCAACAAAACGCCGCCCTTGGAGCACTTTAGAATATCCACCACCTGGGTGTCAATTTGTAGACGATGATTACATGTTTCCAGATGCTTTAACACCGACTAAAATTCCAAGTTTTCGAGCAAGCAAGGAAATAGTTTATGATGTTCCATATATCGACGATAAAGCCATTCCACGTTATGAACCTGAATGGCCTATAGGTGAATCAAGAAGAACTTTGATATCTCAACTCTCGCAGAATAGTGGCAGTATTGTTCGAATGACAGCTGAGGAAGAAAGCAGTCTTATATCACTTGGTAAGTTAAAGATTGAAATTATGTTGTTCTTTTTTTAATTTTAATGCTTTGATAAAGATTTTCATTTGATGATAATGAAATTATTTTAACCGGCTTACATAAGATTACGTTCTACTTCTTGAACTATATAAGGATTAAAACTCTTAGGATTTAAGAAAAGGTAATTTCAATAAATAGATAAATTAAAAGGTGTTCAAGCGGAATATTGCTTAGAAACAGTAGTCAATCTCCCTTACAGATCTTTTCTCAGCTGTAGTCTCTTCAACTTTAAGTCTCATACCAAATTATGAAGAAATGAAGAAAATAGGATTAGCTATTATTATTATTATTATTATTATTATTATTATTATTATTATTATTATTATTATTATTATTAATAGTATCACAATTGTGTCAGTTACGGATAGATTTTACAGTGAGTTGAAGATGTTTAGAGAACTGATGGGATTGAGAAAGCACAAGATAGGTGTCTTCTTTTAATTTATCTTAGTAGTATACATCTCCAAACTTATGAGGGATCAAGTCCAACGTCGCTAGTTACCATAGCATACATGACACCTAGTTAGAAGTCGATGAATTCTGTTGACTATTTCAATTATTTAATGATATAGACTGATCTTAATCAGATATGATGAAATGATCGTCAAATTATACAGATTTTTCATAAAATCACTTAATTTACGCATCAATACTAGTAGATCTCAGTTATATTAATTCATAAATCAATTGAAGTTGACAATGTTGTTAACTGGTTCCTCATTTAAAAGTTCAAATAAATTGTACTAGTCATAGTGCTGGAAGATCTTACTTCAATTAAAAGAAATGTCACACTATTTAGATTTTTAAATTCGTATAAGTTTACATAGATAAATAAGTTATCTCCATCACATCATTCAGTATGTTCCAAGATGATTTACTATTTACTGAAATAATAATTCCTTTACAATAGGTAAAGCGCTATGGTTTTATTCAACTAATAATACTTAGATGGTTATTGGTTCTGTTTGAATGTTGTTTCGTAATCATATAATTTGATAATATTTTACTAACGGCTAAATATTTTTTTACTCCAACAATAATGAGTTCACTGGTTGAAATCATGAGTCACTTGAAGCTAGACCACCATGGAAAATCTGGGAACACTGGACGACCGTTTTGTCCTAGTGTGGGGCTCCTCAGCAGTGCGCATACACGACCCAGGACCTACCAGTCCCGCGCCAGGCGCTTAACCATCTAGACCACTGAGCCAGCATCCAATCCACGAAGTTGCGCCATCGTACATCATTGTCTCCAGTGAGTTCCTATCTCACGACAGACCCGGTTGAACTCCACTGGTAACGACTCACTGGGTCGTGGATGCGCACTACTGAGGAGTCCCACACTAGAACGAAACGGCCGTCCAGTGCTTCCAAGTTTTCCATGGTGGTCTAGCTTCAATCGACTCATGATTTCAACCAGTGAAATTTCTAAAATCTCCACAAAACCCATTCTGATAATAATGAATTTATTTGAATTATCCTATTATTGACAGTTGATATTGTGGTGTAGGAAAATTTTTGAAGACTAGTTTTTCCTAGTTGACTACAACATGTGTATACAATGCAAGCAATTCATTATTTTGGTGAATACTTCATACCTAATAACTGTTAGTCATCATGACGATATTGAAATGTTACTAGCTATTATTATTATTATTGAGAAATGACTAAGTAAATGATTCTTTTAAATTAGTCTAGCGGTCACTTGAAATCTTTCATTTGAAAATAATAACAACATATTTTACTAGTAAGTATCTAGTCTATGTGACTAATGCATTATTGAAATAAGCCAGTCATCATTTTAATGGATTAATAACCACATTTTTAACTGAAACACTATATCAGAAGGGGTTTTGTGGAGATTTTAGTGATATCAATTGTTGAAATCATAAGTCAACACCGTTGGATTCCTGCTCAATGGTCTAGTGGTTAGGCGGTCGCCTGCGAGACCGATAGGTTCTAGGTTCGGATCTCGCCGGGCGAGGTTGTGGATGCGTGCTGCTGAGGTGTCCCACAGTACAACGAAACGGCCGCCCAGTGCATCCAGGTTTTCCATGGTGGTCTAGCTTCAATTAGCTCATGATCTCAACAATTGAAATTACTAAAACATTATATATTGTTAGGTAGAACATGTATTACTTTATTAAATTTCAAGAATCGACATATACCTATACTTTACTGATTAATGTTTACAAGTTGGAAACATAAGCCCATTGTTGCTTAATAATAGAAGGATTTTATTGGGAATTTTAATGAAAGCACAAAATTGATCAATATCTGTGAACATAATAGACGATACTCTGAAATATCTAATAATCTGTACTAACTTTTAGTTTCAGTATGATCGTTAAAGCTTAAATGAACTCGGATAAACTTAACAAGTGCTATGTTGGACAAAAATCTTATCATGGATTTTAGTGCTAGCCACTACGTAAAGTATAGTTACAGTAGTCTCTGTCAATTCAACTAGTCTACTAATTTCAATCGTAGACTATTGAATCTATATTCTTATTATACTTGATAAGCACCCAGTAAAATTATTCGGTAATTCAATCTTTTGAAAAAATAAGAGAAAAAAAACTGTGAGTACATTTTGAGCTAGAGTATATAAAGCTTTAATTTAGTTTGTAATGGTTCTCATTATTTCGTTTTTTGATATTTTTAGATGAAAATTTTATCGATTGTAGTTGGGGTGTGTACATGTTATGTGGTTTACCTCTATATAACCATTAACTGACAAGTTCTTATAGAATGCATAGAATATTACTAATAGTAGAATCCAGGATGTGTATTTTGTGCTAATTAGGTTTCACTAGTTCAATTTACTTGTATCTCAGTGTTAATGTTCATTCCAAGATTCAAACCCAATACATTTTGCTTCGAATGTCCAATCACGTTATCCAGTTAGGTACTGAGTTTAAATAGTCGCTAACCTATACAACTACAGAATAATTCAAATTATTACAAATTTAATTTAATTTAATACCTGTTTCACAAACCAGTAATTATCCCAGAGTGAACTTTAACACTAGGATACAAGTAAATTCAACTGGTGAAACCCAAATAACACAAAACACAAATCTTTTATTCCACTGTTAACTATATCTCATTTGTTCTATATGGAACTTTCTTGAATGACAGGGGATCTAGTGTGACTAATCAATGACTTATCATTCTCTTGTAATGGATAAAGAAACTAGAAAAACTGATTCCATGCTATTTTTTGTATTATGGCACATTGTCATAAGTATGATTAAATTTCAGAGACTTTTCATATTACATTTCTCATTTATTCTATCAATGTATGATTGGTACAACTGAAAGGTAACGGTGTTTTCTTTTTTAGTTCATATACATAATTTAACATAGCTTATATAATTAAGCTTAGAAAGAATGCATAATATCAGGACACCATAAACCATAAATACTACTATACAATAGTTAGTTAATATTCAAGTTTCTTCTTGTATTTAACAGTTCATATAGAACCGGTTAATAGCCTAATTATAAAATATAAGTATGTTGCGTTAAAAAAAAGTGATACTCGTACTCATTTCATTATTTCATATAAGTGTTTGATGATAATATCAGTGTTTAATTTAAGATAGTTGGATAGAATCAATAGGATAGATAAAGTGTAGATCGATCTTATGATTTACAATATTTATCAACTGTTCAGATCTAACAATTCAATGATAATGTCTTTGATTTCTGTAATGAATGATATAGATTGTAACCTGTATGATAGTATCCAGTTTCCATAATGGCTATACATTTATCTTCATTATATATCTTGGTAAGTATAGAATCTAAATTTGATGCATCCTATCTGTTACGTTCAATCCTTCAAAAGAATAAAAGCGATCGTTTAGTATTACAACATATTATTGAATGACTATGTCTAACAAAACAGTCGACTATTCGACATTGGTTACAATTCCATGATATATTCATACAGTGTTTATCGCTATTTAAGTGACGGGATTAGTTCTTTCAATAGTATACTCACTAGTGATGATTTTGAACATAAGTAATGATAATTTTTAATTTGAAACGCATGAGTCAAATGTAAAAATCAGAATAAACATACATATTTCAAGGCTTCGATGAATAAACCACTAACGATATATTTGTTTATTATTATTAGAAGCTTTATTCAACATTATATTTTTGGTAAAACATAGAATTCTCAGCATAAAGTATTTCAACAAGTTTCCTTTTCTTATATCTTGATCGATTGTGACGATAAATTTTGAATGATGACTAGTTAGATGTTAGGAGTTCGGTAATCCACATTTGATTAATGTTCATTCGTTTCAATGCATATTGCCGGCCACCATGATATCGCTGATTGTACCTTTTTGTAACCCGTACAGCGAAAGGTTGTAAACTTTTCATAAACGCGCCAGAATAGATTGTGAGCACAATAGACATAATGATGTGCTTAAACAAACAACAGAACAGATAACTTGATGAAATATCAAGATCGGAGGAACAGGTAGCCCAGATATTCAAGCAGGCCGCCACGTAATATATGACATAATAGATTATTTCCAATAAGATATTAATTTAGTAATTAGGTTATAGAATAATGAGAAGAAAAAAACAGGACTCAATTATTTAGAACAGGAAATAAGAGTAGAATAAGGTGAATGCATACATACGAGATTTTAAAAATTTCTTTGATGAAATATATGTTCCTATAAGAAATCAATAAGAAAGGATCCTTTCTTTCTCCTGTTCGATAATGAATCCAATACAAATTATAAGTAAGGTGATTCTCATGTAAATCAGTGAGTTTTCAATGACTGGTAATATTAAATAATCTTCAGAAATTTGAATATAATTAGTAAAAGGTTATTCACAATTAATTCAACCGGATCTGTTGTGAGATAGTAACTCACTGAAAATTATGGTGAATATGTCGCCCGATTTCGTGAATTAGTTGAAGTTAAACATTAACACCATTGAATACCAGCTCAGTGGTCTAAAGGTTAACGTTCGCGCGCGAAACCGATAGACCCTGTGTTCGAGTCTGGCGAGGCGGGATCATGGGAACGCACTGCTGAAGAGTCCCACAATAGGACGAAACGGTCATTCAGTGTTTCCAGGTTTTCCATGGTAGTTTAGCTTCAATCGATTCATGCTCTCGAATATTGAAATTACATAATTTTTGTCAACTATATGATAATAACATTGAAATAATGTCATAATTTAGTTTTGATAGATAAATAAATGAAGATTATTTTTTCTTTCATTTTTATCACATTCTATTATATAATATTATATATTTATTTGTTTAGATACTAAACTCTCCGATCATCAGAATATATCCAAAAGAATAAGTCGATTTACATCACATCTATTGAAAGGTAACAAATCTTCATTGGAACAAGATGATGATGTTTCAAAATCTCGATCGAAAAGTTTAACTCGATTAAAAACATGGTGGTCTAAACGTGGTTCACCGCATAAATGAAACTTGACATTTTATAATAGTAATAATGTTATTAATCCATTTATTTCCAATTCACTTTTGTTCTAAAAAGACAACCAGAAATTGTATTGATCGAAATTTACACACAAAAATGTTTTCCCAATTTTTCAACTTTATGTCTCCTCAACTAATCACCTACTATTAATTTGCTGCATTATTCTATCAGAATAACCATCGATTCAGGTAAGTAATTATTAATTTTCATTTGTGTTATCTCTTATATTTGACTTACTCAGTTGTGAGGTCGATTTTCTGTGTTTCATTTTCGAGCCTTCCTCCCAAATTATTCGATTTAGACAACTTGGATAGTATCACTAAACTTTGCAAGTAAATTAGTGTTACATATAGTTGAATAAAATAATGTTTATTTAGTTTCGGTGTTGTGTTAATTACGAACTGTTGTTATAACTTGTGGCCTTGTATCCCTATCAATATATATAACGTAATGATACCTCCAATTATAGAACAGTGATTTATCAACCGGACCAATGACGCATAAAACCCGTTTGACATGTCTAGAGTCCTTATCGGTTCTTCTTCCTGCCTAGCTCTACCTGTTAAGTCCAGAACACAAATCTCAGACTGCGCAATATCAATCATGTATTTCAAACATATTGGGTTTATATGCAAACCAAACAGGCCACATCACATCATAAAATAGAAAATAACATTTGTACAAGATCTAGCCAAAATTGACTGTGAATGTGGGAAACTGTTATTAATAAACTGGGGATAATTCAGGAACGGTAAATTGTATAATAATAGTTTATGAGTCAAAATAAAGCTTATAACAAGAAGAACATGAATATACATAGTTTAGCAACTTAATAATCATAAAATAAATATATATCGTATTGTTCCATAAATAGTTCTCAAGCATTACCATTCATAATTCTCTTCTACATGTAACAACTATGACTTCGTGAAGCATAACAATTACTTTGTATTGAGATTAGTTGGTGGTTGGAGGTAGTCGACAGGAAACCCTGGACCCGGGTTTCATGCTACTTGGCACTCGTCAGCAAGGTGTATCTGTAATCGTGAGGGAACTGTTGCTCCCTAGCGGATTCGATGCCGTGTCACCCAGCTTCACAGTCAGGGACGTTACCACTGAGCTATCCGAGCCGCGACTGACCTCCTGTAGGACTGAGATGTAATCACAATTGATTGATCACTGGGTGGTGATCAATGTCATGTGTGTCAAGTCCTTATTTAGTGCAGATCGAATGTTATCGACCATGTTGCAATGTGGCCACCAGTCTAGGTGACTTGACATTGTGGGCACTATCTATTGAAATTAGATGGTGGTTGGAGGTAGTCGAAAGTAATTCATCACTTCAAGAAAACTTCATTGATCAATTAGTCTACTTATTTTTACAATGTTACATTTAATGACTATATTAATCACTTGAAAAATAAATATTGTGTTATTTTGGATGGATAGAAATAGACAGTTATCTTTCTGCCAAAATTCCTTCTTGTTCTTGGTTTCATTTGATTGGTAGATTGAGAAATAATTGATTTATTATTAAACATTTAACTTGTTCTGACTTTTTAATAAACTAGTCAATGTATTAATTAGATAAAAATGTAATATATTTCTAATCATTTTATCTGTTGAATGGTTCGTAAGTTTATTGTTCATATCAGTAATTAGCTACAAGAAAAATTTCAACACAAATGCTGAGAGACAATATCATTGATGACGATTGGTAACAATGGTATCATATCATAGATTGATTGATGCTAGAAATATAAAATCATATGGTATTAACTGAATAATGTTATCCTTAAATTAAGACTTGAAGTTCCCGAGTTGACATTGATGATGAATTACAATCTAAGATCAGTTAACTACTCAGTACTTCTTGAAATAAACTGTTCTTCAAGGCAAAACTAATTTCTATAAGTCGTTTATAAGTGCTTAGATCTTCCGTTGATGGTGTTAAGGATTAAATATTGGTCATTCTGTTTTGGCATATATATATGCTGAGGAGTCCCACAATAGGACAAAACGGCTGTCCAGTGCTTCCAGGTTTTCCATGGTGGTCTAGCTTCAGTTGACTCATGAATTAAACTAATAAAAAGTACTATAATATCCAAAAAACCCTTCTGATATATATATATATATATATATATATATATATATATATATATATATATATATATATGCTGAGTGGATTGACTTGAGATTGCCGTTAGGTAATTATCCATTTTTAACTAAGTTTGATACTGGCTAATAGGCGAATCCAGGAAGTGTATTCCGTTCTATTTGAGTCTCATTAGTTGAATGTATCTACATCTTAGTGTATATGTTCACTCAAAATCTTTCACCTATTACTTTTCTATTCAAATACCCAACACTAATGATTTGATGAACTTAATAACTAAGTGGATAAAGTATTCAATATTTAAAAAGAAAATTACTTCATTCATATTCACTAATGAACATGAACTCCTAAATAGAATGTGAAATAAGTTAATTGAACTCCACTATTACTAATTAACATCTATCTCTATTCTAACATAACTTTATATTTAATAAATAAATAAAGAAATAAACTAATAAAGAGAAACATTTACACTCAACAATAAATTTACAGTATCATGATCTATCTTTACTTTTAATTCAAAGATCTATTATAAACAGAATCGTTAATATTAGATAGGTTTTGTGGCATTATAGTAATTTCAATGGTTAATATCATGAATCAGTTGAAGCTAAACCATCATGGAAAACCTGGAAACACTGAACGGTCGTTTCGTTCTATTGTGGGACAACTCAGCAGTGCGCATCCACGACCTCGCCCCCTGCGAGAGTCGAATCCAGGACCTACTGGATCCCCGCACGAGCACTTAACCACTAGACCATTGAACCGCCATCCAACGATGTTAATGTCTAACTTCAACAAATCCACAAAATTGAGCGACACATCCACCAATGTCTTCAGTGAGTTACTATCTCACAACAGACTTGGTTGAATTCCACTGGTCACTACTTCTCACTAGAACTCTAGAATATACCTCTTGAAGCCAGTCACTAGTGAGCATATGTTGATTAATATCAGATGGGTTTTATGGATATTATAGTAATTTCAATGGTTAAGATCATGAGTCAGTTGAAGCTAGACCACCATGGACAACCTGGATGCACTGGACGGCCGTTTCGTCCTATTGTGGAACTCCTCGTTAATACATTCTTTCTCTTTTTCTTTTTCTTGTATTTATCTTTTTTTTTTTAATTAACTCATTAATCTTAATTTTGTTATCTATAAATACTTTTATTGATTAATTCTTGAATACAAAATAAATTTTTAAAGAAAAAAACTTTTTTTCGGCGTATTAGAGAAATAGTTTTCATAAAACTTTTTTTTATTTTACATAATTAATAAAGTACAAATTAAAATAGTGTAAGTATATTTATCACTTTGTGTGTGTATGTGTGTGTATGTGTGTGTGTATGTGTGCGTGTTACTGCACAGACGTATATATATGTATGATAGGGATTTATTAGAGTTAAGTTAAATATCACGAGTACGCATAATTAATATTACCAATGTCTTTTATTGAGTAGACAGATCATGTGAAAATCGATTAATCACTTTAGATTCTTTTTCTTTTCTTTTTTTGTTTTTTTCTCTAGTATTTTATGTATGAATTATACGTGTAAAGTTAATTTAGTTAATTATTCATTCATAAAATATTATAACGTTTAACTTGGATACAACTTTTTTTCCTTTTTTTAGAAATGTCATAGACAATTTGTTATTAAATTCACCCCATTGTACAAATAAATGACTGGCAACACTTAGTATCTAAGTGAATAACGTGATGATGTTTGAAGTGAACGGTATTGATTTCCAGTCTCAAAATGAACATTAACTCTGAGATACAGGTACATTAAAATGATGAGTCCTAAATAGGACGAAACACTTGTCCTGTATTCCACTAATTTGTTATTAAATTGTTCGACTCCAACAGTTCAAATAACTTAATGAGAGAATACTTTGATTATGACATTTAGTGATCCAGATCTAGATCTTATAGATTGTATCAAATCTCTTAAGAGTACAGATGTATTATATTACTGATAAATATAGACTAGCACAAAGTTTAAGTAAATGGTTCCTCTCCTAAGAATATTTCTTATCATCTAACGGTCACATTACAACTCGATCATTGAACTTTAGACAGAATAATGAAGTATACAAGTATGTGATTACTGTTTAGTAAACAAATAGTTTATAAATTAAGTTTAAACAACTATTCCTTCTACTGGTAGAATAGTTTCGTTGGTGCATGATAAAGAATTTCACCAAATTTTATTGAAATCGATAAATTGTTATTTGTGTATAAATTTCACAGAGATTTAACGTATTACTATTTCGAAATCATCATAACTTCAGATGTTGTTAAAATCTAGTTGATTTCAAACGTTTCTTCTATCAAATTAGTTTTAGATTTCTTAAGGAAATAAATAAAAATCTAATTATATTTCTTTGAAGAAATTCAAACAAGTTATTATGACTTTTGTTCGGTCGATTATCATATGATAAAATCGCCAATCAGAACACGACTTATACCATCTTAACAATGACATGTTGACCGGTCTGAACAGTCTCTAGCATCCTTATTCATAATTCTTTCTCTGCCAAGCCCAGGATACTGAGCCCAGAACGCCAATAATAGCAGCTTCTACTGTATGAATCATATATTTCAGATATTCAGAGTTTATGTACTGGACAAACAGATCACATCATACCATAAAATAAAATAAATAACAATTATACAGGATCAAGCCCAAAATTGGCTGTGATTGTGACTGTAGTTCATAAACTTGGTCTAACTTGAGAATGGTAAATCGTAGAATAACGGTCTATGGGTCAAAACAAAGCTTATAATAAGAGGAATATGAATATATATAATCTAGTTATTCAATAGTTATACAACAAGTATATATTTATAATATTACCCGATTAATAGCTTTCAGAAGTTATCCATTGTTTAATCTTCACTAGGATATAACACAAGTTAGATAGAAGTAACATTTGAATTTCAACCGTTAAGATTATCTTAAATATAGTTTTTAGATAAAGTCACTTCGATATACTTCATTTCGGATTTCTGTCAGATTGCTTGTTCATATTTTGATTAATGTTCATATACATATCAGCGTTGATTTA